ATTGAAATACTATTATTCTTATCAGGTGAATGAAAAAAATTGTATTGAGGCACTTCACAAAGACTTATGCATTACATTTGGTTACATTACGAAAATGTCCTATTACTTTAAAGACCGTCACCACTACTGGGCAAGAAGGGATTAGACCACACAGCGAGCCAGCGAGGTCGATGTGACAGGTGGCTATCTCATTAACTCAGCTCTCATTTAACATAAGAAAAAGAGGATCATGGGGGACCAACAGGCACCGATTTGGGGAAGTTTTCTATATAGAGGGAGCAAGTAGCTACAAGTATGGCAGTGTGCCTTTAACGCAATAATCTGAAAATAATTACAATTACACACCTGATATTTAATCTTTATGTCACTCAAGCTTTTCTATGCTTAATTTGAATAACATATGATTATCTAGCATCATACTATGATCATTGGGTCTCATAAAAAGGGGAAAGATAAACATATCTAAGGATCTATACCATGCATGCATCTAGTCTGCTTCGTACGTAAATCATATTTTCGATCAACAATAGCTTTAAAACAACAAAGTCTCACACCAGATTTTATTTTCAAATTTCTAAATTATTCTCTTTTAAAGTGGAAAACATGCCTAAAAAGGGACCAAGAAATACCGAATATATGAAGGCAATCACTTGCTTCACTGAATCCAGCAAATGCAAATGTTTCTTAAAAGTTATTTAGCTGCAATTCTTTAGGCACTTCTTTTAATAGTTTATCATTTGTTTGTAAAATGTATACATAATTATTAGCCTTAAAACTTAAAAGCTAGTTTTGTGTGCCCCCTAGCTAGCAATCAAGTCTGCTCAATACATTAAAAAGCTTATGGTCTATTTCGGGATGCATTTGAGATTGACAACGCTATCGAATAAAACCTTGGGGCCGATGGAAATACACAATTAGACAGGTAACATTTAATAATGATGTCTCACATGAGGCCTAAAAAATGATTACCCTTTGCGACCGACCCAAAAAATCTTGAAATCTACGGTCGGCTTTTAATTTTTTTGAAAACCGTTTTTTAGAAGAAAAAAAATTAAATTTAAGGATTAAAATCTGAAAAATATCAGCCTAAAGAGGTAGAGAAACAAAAGGAAAGAAGATTTCCGACCGACCAACCCATGTTTCGGCACCTAAAGGGCAATGCAACATCTTTTTTTATTTTTATTTTAGGCCTGACAGTGGCTAGGGCCTCGGGTTTGGAGATCGTTGTGTGGGCGTGTGAGTGTGGCGAATGTGTTGACATAGAGGTATATCGATGGTACTGTGGATGGATCGGTGTAGTGGTCTGGCCGTGTGGGTGTGGGTGACTGGGTTTCGTGATAGCTATGTGGCGTGTGGGTGTAGTGGCCAGGGTAAAATAGACGAAGTGGTTGTAATACTATGGTAGCATGTATGGCTGTAGTGATGATAGTGTGGATGGATGCGGTGATGGTGGTGTGTGCGTGTGGGTGATGTGATCACGGTGATACAGACGTAGTGATGGTAATAATATGGTGGTATGAAAGGGTTTAGGGATGATAGTGTGGATGGGTGTGGTGATGGTGGTGTGTGCGTGTGGGTGAAGTGATAGCGGTGTGGGTAGATGTAGTGACAGTGATTTGGTGTGTGGGTGTGGTGATCAGGGTGAAATATATGTTGTGATGGTAATAAAATGGTAGCACGGATTGGTGTAGTGATGATAGTGTGGATGGGTGTGGTGATGGTGGTGTGTGCGTGTGGGTGAAGTGATAGCGGCATTGCAAGATGTAGTGACAGAGATTTGGCGTGTGGGTGTAGTGATCAGGGTGTAGGGGTGATATGTGGATGGGTGTGGTGATGGTGGCGTATGCGTGTGGGTGTATTGATAGCGGTGTGGGTAGATGAAGCGACAGAGATGTGGCAAGTGGGTGTAGTGATCAAGGTTACATAGTAGTAATGGCAATACTGTAGTAGTATGAATGGGTGTAGGGATGATAGTGTAAATGGGTGTGGTGATGGTGGTGTGTGCGTGTGGGTTAGCGATGGCGGTGTGGGTAGATGTAGTAACAGTGATGTGGGGGTGTGTGTGCAGTATTTGGAGTTCGTATAAAGACGGTCGGGTGTAGATGGGAGTGGTGATGGTGACATTATGAATATGGCGACAGTAGACTGGGTGTGTGGTTTGGTGGGTGTGTGGTTTGGTGGGTGTAGTGATTGTGTTATGGGCCTAAAGCTGGAGTGAAAATGACGCCTTTATTGGAACATAATGGGTAATGTCTTTACAATTATTTTGTGTACAGCAATGACGATTTTCATGGGTGTGGTGATAGGGATGGGGATAAGAATAGCGTTTTGTTACCCTATTCGATGGTTGTTTTGGGTTATTTTTGGTGTTTGTGTGATGACAATTGTGATGGCGTTGTGGTTGGATGAATTTACCTTCATACTTATGTTGACGTTCTGTATAAGTATTGATGTTCGTTTGTTTGTGGTGGTTTTTCGGGGGTGAGTGAAAGTGCATACTAGAATGAATTAGTACTTTGCCGTTCGATATTAGTAGTAACACAATAAGATACTACTTCATAACAATCTACACGGAAATCGAGTATTTTACATATTCAGAACACTGTTGATCAATCAGCAGTATGAGGCATAGCAAAAAGTGACAATAAATATATTTATAGCCAGTAATGGTTTTAGTGGTGGCAGCGGTGCTAATGGTGTTGGTGGCCGTGATGGGAATAAAGGAATGGTGATTGGGTTTTTCCCACTTTTGTTTGTGAGGACGGTAAAACTTAATGTGTGGATGAGCCATGAATTTACATCAGAGTACAAGACCTGGCGTAAGTTAAAGTTACATGATTTTCTCCTGGTACAATTTCCAACTTCCCTCATTAGAGTGAGTTATCCTACTGCTGTTAAATCTTACAAAACAGTTTTATGCCTGGTGAGATTTACAATTTTGTATTCCTGTAATTGAAGAGAATTATCACGCAGTTTTACAAACAGGGGTGCAGCTCAAGATGACAAAATAACTTGCCATCACCATGCAAGTAGAAGATGCGCTACCAGAAGAGAATCTTGCAACAATGTAAGAATTTGCTGATGAGGAAAATAAGTTCTTCCTTTTAAAGTCAGCATCTACTAATTTGACAAGCATTTAATTGCAGTAACGAAACAATTCTCTTAATTTGATTCTGATTGAATACTGAAGTATATGAGAAGAAGTGTGATGTGTGGTTCAAAAGTGAGTCTGGGATAGGAAATGCTAGCAAGAAAACAAGCTCGGTTGCAATACCTGAATTTGCAAATAAAGGCATAGAAAAGGCAATTGGTACGCTTTTGCTGCTGTTATGTTCTTGCTGTTAATTGTTTTGTTTATATTGTGGAATAGCCATCAGGAATGTTAGATATCAAGAGATAATTGTTGACACTTAGAACTAAGATTGAGAGTCACAAAAAGGCCATTCAAAATTGGGTTCGCTGCTAGTTGTATGGTTACGGCCAATGTTAATACCGCAAATTTCCTTTTTCTTTCTGGATATAATGAATACCAGATACTGGCATGTATTAATAATTATAGTGGTCAAAGTAAGTGTGCATTCGAATCAAATACAATCGTAAACATATTTGAGCAAATCCAAAAAGTAGTTATCGTCGATTTTACCAATATATATACATATGTATACTATAAAAAAAAGGAATCGCCCTTATAAATTTAATTTAACACTTCATAATACAGGTAATATTAAATATCAACATAATTGTAGTAATGTTCATGATCAAAACGATCGCAATGCGGCAGCTGTGCTTCCATGCAGAAAAGTGCATACTCGCCAAAGTTTTCAATTTTGTTGAGTTCGGGAACATCACTTTGTTTAACGAATGTTGAAACTTAGCTTTAATCTCTTATCTCTTATTGCACTTTATCTTTAAAAACATCCACATTTTATTTCACCTGCATGCAGTGGCGTAATGAGCTAAATCCTTTGGGGGCAAACAAAACCCGGAAAATCATGTCATTTTAGCAATACTGTAAATCACTGGTATCGAAATAGAAATAAACCACGATTGGAGTTTATGTGGGGGGAGGGGGCTCCACCAGTACGCCAGTGCCTGCATGTACCTTGTTAGCTCGATTTCTCTGCTGTTTGTACTAAGCTATGAATCTTCATATCTCATTTGGTTTAGTAATCAAAATCTTGATCAATCTTCGTAAGCTTCCTACTCCACCATTGTTGCAATAAACATGTAAGTGTTTAATCATCAAATTTCTATTATATTTAAAAAAAGAGGCAATTTTGTATTATCAATAAAACTTGTAAATCGTATTCAAATATACGCAATAATTGTGAAATTTTCTATATCTTATCATGTAATTTTATGTCGTGTACTTTTTTCTCTGTAAATTGAAAAATTTCAGCTATCAACTGCATGATCGATGATTTCTATCTCAATAGACCAATACAATACATTACAAAGATATATCCGGTAACACGTATCTATCCATTAGACACTTTCATGGTAATGGTATTAATGAAAGGTACACTCCGCCCACTCCGTTCTTTGTTTTTTTCTATACATTGATTTACATGTATTTGTCTCTCTTTCTTTTGTTTCTTAAAGTGACTCGGTAACATTGCTGAAGGTTGATGAAAAACTGCGTAATTTTTTAATGAAATGTAACTTATTATGTTCCTTCTACTGTACTAACCCTCTAACATTCCAAAAATCCCGAACAAATTCTCAAACCACAAAGGTATTTATGGTTTTCTTTGAAGGCGTAACTGTGCGACACCGTCTTAACAGTAAATTCTTCCAACCATTTTTGAATTTTCCCAGCCGTTTTTACATGAAAATAAGACATAAAACAACCTTTAAAAAAAATCTTTCAACACTGGAGTGTCTTGAATGTTATACAGAGCCAATTCTTTGCTTTGTGACGATTTTCATTCATCTATATTTCATATCACAATTTTTCTTTATGTTGTCGTGAGAGTCGACCTAATTTTACGTATACTCACCAAATAATCCAATTACCATACTCCGCAGTTCATCATGTCCAATGTTCAGTTGGCCTATAAATCTAGCTAGATGTGAAACAGTTTGACTGACCAGTTCTTCTGGCTGGCTATCGGTAACGGTCCGGGTCGTCACTACCTTGGCCGCCGAAGGTGACGGCTCGTACACTGTCGACTCCTCGGAACTTCTCTGAGTTATTCCTTCTTGCAACACCCGAAGCCGTTTGAATAAAGATTCTTCAACTGTAATGGACATGGTCGGTGGAAGCAGGAAGAGAAGAGAAAAAGCACCAAGGAGAAAGACATTTAGCCCGAGTATAGTCCATGCTCGGAACAGCAGCATCATTGAGGGAGCTTGCTCACTCTAGAGACCCGTGGATGTAGGCGGGTTGCAGAAGCGACGGAAAGAGCGGTCAACCTGTCGTCTGCTGCTATCGCGATAAGCAGAAGCGGCGGAAAACGTACCGGACGAAAACGGGACAGATTATCTCGTTTTTTATCTCACTGTTTCTTAACATGGTCCAAGATCAAAATGAATCGGGGAAAATTTACATACAACGTTTAAGAATGTCATTCCTGTAATCACTACGAAATCACACAAAGATACCATGCCTGTTCACATGCGAAGAAATATGAGGGCACTGCTTAAGAAGCTCCTTTACTATTGATTGGATGACTTTATACTACCTGATTCTCCCACGCTCATGCTATGATTGATTGTATTTCACTCGTCCCTTATTATGCTCTCTCTCTCTCTCTCTCTCTCTCTCTCTCTCTCTCTCTCTCTCTCTCTCTCTCTCTCGTTCTCAACCTCCCTCTCCGTTACACGGTATCGTTTGCCCTACTATAATAAGTCCTTAATTATTATTTTTTTTGCTATTTGCCAAAACTAAGTGCGTATTATCAATTTACGTAGGTCAAGAATATAATGATTTTGTTAAACAACTCATAACTGCCTTTTTATCGTATGGTAGACTTTAACGTTACTAGATGTTTAAATTGACAGTAAGAGAGGGAGATGTGGGGTAAGTGGAGAGAGGGATATAGAGGAGGCAGAAAGAGAGAGAGAGAGAGATAGAGAGAGAGTGGGAGAGACGGGAGAGAGAGAGAGGGAGAGGGGGAGAGAAAGAGAGGCGGAGACAAAGACAGAGACAGAAAAGACAGATAGAGAGAGGGGGCAACAGTGAGCTGTTGGGAAAAATGAAAGGTGTGGAATGGAGAAAGTAGAGAGAGGGTAGAAAGGGAGGAGGAACGGATGGGTGGGAGTGGGACAGGGGTGAGTGGAGAAAAGGGGGAGGGAGAAGGAGCAGAGAGCATGAGAGAAATTCATGTAGAAAGAAAGGAAATTGTCGGGAAAGGTGGAAGGAAGGTGAGAGAAAGTAAGAAGAGAGGAGGGAAGGAAAGAGAGATTTAGGACAAATCCTTACTCATTTCCAGTTTCATTCTCATTATTGGAGTGATAGGTCGTGGCGTTCATACCTTGATTCCTTCCCGATCCACAGGAGGGTTTTGCTATGATAAGCCACAACAATCAGCAATATCATTGATTACCTGAGTAGGTCTCTCATATATACTTTGACTGCTTTTTTAATGCATTGCACTTATCAAAGAGTATGCTACTTTTTGAGTCGTCAACTCACCAAGATGTACCAAAAAAAAGTATTTAGATGATGTACTCCTTGATATTCTTTGTACGTACGAACGAAAAAAGAAAAATTCCACAACGTTAAAATTACCGGCAAAATTATATTCAAAGTGTCATGACAAGTGCTTCGGACAGAAGAGGCACTCCCCCCCCCCCCCCACAACCGAAAAACTAGCAAAAATACCTATAAAATCATCTGCTCAAAATTTATAAAAAAGCTTCTCAACATTTTGAGATACAGTTGATATGCTATTAAGCAAAGAATATGATTTTCGGTGATGAATTTTCTTTAATAATTATTTTTTAGTTACACCTCAGTTGAGGCTTTTAATTCTGGATTTAAGAACAAAATTATAATTAAAAGAATTATTAAAAAAAAAGAAAGGAAAAGAAAAGAAAAGAAGGACAAAATGCAAATCCAGACCACAGCGTTTGGGAATAAAAAGGCATACAGTGTGTGGGGGTGATTGTGTGATGGTGTGTATTCATGGGAGGGTGGTTGCGTAAGCTTGTTCGTCAATTATGCCCCTTCTTTCTGAGAGAAAACTATTATGCATTTACATGTTATACATTATAACTTAGTGCTTGATCAATACAAAAAAATATTCCCAAATGATTATAATACATGGCATTTGAAGTGAAAAGCGAAATTGATGAATACTCAATCGAGTCGCGAAAGGCAGAGAAAGAGTGTGTAACGTCAACAAAATTCAGCCAGTAAGTCACTTAACTCAGAGAATTATCTGTCATTGCTGCTAAATCAAAAATAGACAACACATCACCTCCAAAAAGGTGACTGCATGAAATAAGAACTTTAACATACAATTTTTTTCCAACGTGCGTCATCAACTTTCTGCTTTTAACTCTTTGCCTCATTACAGCGATTAATTTCTATCACTTGACGCACCACCCTGCATTTAATTAGATTAAAGGATTACCTCTATAGCTATCTGACAAATCTTGCGAGAGGATCGTGAGAATTACCAAATCTATAATTAGTAGATTCGTATATCCTATCCATAGATCATACAAACTATTGGAACGGATAGCCCCATTCTTTTTAACACGTCTGGGATAACCTGTATTAATACCGAAGTACATTAGTATATATACAAGGACCCTATTGTGTCGATGCCCACTCTTATTTGGAGGCGGGGCGTGTCCCCCTGATTGACGCCCATGCCCCTTCAGTTACATGAGACAAGCTCTGCACATGAAGACGACAACCCTTTGTAAACCTGGGCGCCTCCTCCTCCTCAAAAAAGAAAATCAGGTCCAGGTGAAAAAATGTGAGCTCTCTCATACCTTCTATTCCTTTCTATTACTACACGTTCATGGACGTGGAAGAACGTTTAGGTGTCGTGGTCTAGTGGATACGTCACCACACTGTGGATCACATGGTTTGTGGTTCGAATCCCACCGCGGCACTAATATATATGGGGCCCCCGAGTCAAAAGTGAAATGTTGCGAAATGCATTGTAGTCAACAGTGGATTTGTTTAGATGATGGATTGTGTTTTAAATGATAATGAGGTAGTCATGCCTGAGGTGCAATATGATGTTTTTTTTAAATACACCTTTGACATGTATACTAAATTTCAAAATGTTATTAACTTTAATGTTACACAAAACCAGGGAGTTGGGATGTATGGAGATACCGTCTTGAAAGAATTTCAACCAAAGATCCCCTCTGGAAATCCAAATCATACGTAATGTTACGCAACGCCGTCTGCTTCTTTAAGTTTTCTATTCACTCGGTCGTAAAAATTGGAGGCATCAAACTTAAAAGTATGCGTGGCACCGCAAAAATGACGTCATGGTCAGTGAAGATGTATATAGCTATAACATATAAAGAACAGAATCCACAACATATGACCAATGCAACTTTCTATTGGTTATCAAATGTTTTTTTCGAGCTCGATCGGGTAAACCTTATGAAGACATAGCCATTGGAACCAAAACAAAATAAGGTTCTCATCATCACGATTTTCTCATCTAATTATTGACATTTTCCGAAAATTTAAAAAATTTTGTTCATAGGTGATAGCTAGGAAGGTAGTCTAATGTTTTGTCCCCCCAAAAAACTCAATGAAATTGTTTTATATGTTTTGTTTACGCATGTGTTGGATGAGGGTTAGTAGTTGTCGATTCATCACCACTGTTCACCCCGAGTACGGGCCAGCAAAGCATATGCCGCCGTGCTCGCCGGGCTAGGCTTTGGGTGGATAGGGGGACTTAGTGCTACCAGGGAGCTATGCGGTCTCGGAGTGGGATTAAGGGGGTTCCGGTAGGGGAAACATAATACGCGCGGTACCACGGATGACTTCTAAGGGGCCTCTTGGACAGGTATATGTCCGTTCATTCCAACTCCCTGGTAAAACACTGTAAGAAGATGCTCATTTGGGTATTCTATTAAGGGTATTCGTTTTGCACATAACAATAAAAAGATATTACAGTGTCAACATTTTGTTGTCTTTCTTTCAATCTCCCTTCTCATTCCTCTAGATTTTGTTTTAAAGTGAAATAGGGGGGGGGGGGTGGAAGAGAGAAAAGAAAAGGGAGAGATGGAGAGGGGAGAGGTGGAGAAGGGGAGAGGTGGAGAAGGGGAGAGGTGGAGAAGGGGAGAGAGAGAGAGAGAGAAAGAGAAAGAAGCGAAAGAGAAAGAAGCGAAGGAGAAATAACACATGTATACATACTAGACAATGTACAGAATTGTTATTTTTGAAAAATACATTTAATACCATTTCGTCCAATATTTCACCAACAAAGCTGCAATACCTATTGTGATATTGTCACTTTTATCTCTAAAATAACAAAAAATACTTAAGGTGCATAAAACAACAAAATATTTATATTTTAACAAACAGTGAGGATTAAAAATATATTCTATTGTTAATAAAATTAATTAGTTAAAAAAAGTTAATATTTTCAACAAAATGATCACAAAACTACAATAATACATATTGGAATCTAAATGGAAAAAGAAATAGACCCATGACATTATCAAACTTCACATCGATTGAACCAAAAGATAGCTCTTGTGATCACATAGCCTTTGAAATGCCAACTAAAGGGAAAGTTGAAGACATGTTATCATTGTTTCTCGGAGGGGGGGGGGGGGGGGCAAATTTAAAACTATTTGGATTTACCTGATGACAACTGCCATCAATCACCAAGAGTGGATATCACTTTGTAAAAGATAGACTTTACATAAATGAGTTAACATATATCAAATTAATTGTAAGGAAAAGTCATCATATATATTCAGTATCTGAAAGATAGATGACAAAGCCTCTCACAGCAAGCTCTCTGTTGGACCCCAAGTTTTGCAGCTGCGTGCAATGTTTGCACACACAACCACTAATAATTCCTCAGAAGTTTCTTCAATTGTTCGGTGTGTATGCAAACTATGATACAATGCAGATGGGAAAATGTCTTTGAGGTATCTTATAAACATTTGCTGGTCTAAAGTTACTTAATTACAACATGATTGATTCAATTAAAGTCTTTCAATTATAAATAAATTACAAATAGCCCTATTCTTACTCAGCAATATATACAAACAAGGCACTCAGTTAAGCTAAATTAATGACATGAAATGCTTGAATACACACTTTAAATTTCATGTATTTTGCACATAATGTATCATCAAAGTATTACACTATGATATGATAAAAAGGACAGAATCGATAATTAACTACGATAAAAACATGAAGATTTAAAAAGAATATATATGACAATTGCAAATAGGTTTAACAATCAAACTAACACATTAACATCACATAATAAAAGTAATATTACAATACACAAATTTGCTGGAATACTTAAGTAGTTTCTTGAAGGGGGACTAATCCCAAAGAATGAGTGTAGATATTCTGTAAAACGAGATGAATTCATGCCTTTTGATTTATAATATATCTTTAAAAAACGTGTACACAAGATATATAAATGAAGATTTCTTGGCAAGATGTTATGCCTTTTAGCATGACATGGGCGCAGCCGTTGTATCATACGCCAAGCTTTAATTGGAACAACTTTTAATTCAATAACAAAACCTTAACTGTCCAATGAGGGAAAACCATAGCTGTGAAAGTAAAATATATAATAGGGTAACAATTGTAACTCATTTATTTAAAATACTAAAATACAGCGGTTGAAAAATCCATTTCATTTTTGCGAAACCTTCACCCAGAACGGCATCAACTTATTCATGCAATGTGCATTCTGGCAATTGGAGTATAAAGGATAATAGCAGGTGAATGAAATGCTTCAACACTACAAACACCTGGGAAGGAAGCATCCATAGATTTGAATACATTTAGTTGATAAACGATTCCCATAGTACGTCATGCAATCAAGAAAATGGCGATGCCTATGTCTTGCTGAGAAACTGTACATTATTCTTTCTTTATGCCTTTCTCATACACTATATTGGGGAATCTTGTAGATTGATGGGCAAGATTGCAGTAAATCCCTCAGAACAACCAACGTTATTCTGTGGGGTTAGATCTCCTGTAAGTCATATAAAAACCCAAAATGCCAAATATAGAGTAAAGACAACACTTTGTAAGGTTTGGACACCTGTTTCATGCACAGAGCTTGGCATCCTTTTTGGGTATCCTGGGGAGAAGCCGGAACACCCAACCCAATTCAATTGTTTTTCTTTCCTAAATCTTTGATTGTGTGCAAATTTCTAATATTCTACCTGCATATATAATACTGTTACACCAATACCCTACATTTATGTGTGATTTTCACTGGTTTGTTGCTGTCAAACCACATCCGATCCCAGTCTTAACTTGGAAAAGCTGCTTCAGGGATTACCTCATCTCAGCTTCAAGATTAAGGTTTGTATACATGTACTACAACAAAACATTCTCCCTTTTTTTAGAGGGGGGGGGGGGATGTTAACAAAATTTATTTATACATGTATAGTGGTAAATTTGAATATCCGAAAATGCTGTTTTTGTAACGGTTTCACCAGACTAACTTGTCACCGATTATGGTCCGACAGTCATCAATTGAAAAAAGTATACAGACACCTCTAATACTCTGTGGAGTCATATCTAAATGCAGAAAATCACCTTACTGTATGTGCCTATGCTGACACATACATGTACCAGGACATAAATCTGCAATTCTACCGTTAGTTTTCAGGTCAACTAAAAGCTCTCTCACACAAATAGCCGAATTATACCAGTACTGAAAAGTATTGCATAAAACAAAAGGAATTACAACGGCCATGATTATGTAACAAGTATGTGTATAGCCATTTAAAATGCAAGGATTTGTGTAGCTAAAATCAATCATTGTAACTTGTTAATAATAACAGGTATTACAAAACAGAGCTCAACTAGTTATTTTTCTGTGTATGTAACTCAGCTATTATACATTCTCAATCATATCATTTGACAGACCACAATCATGCATATTTTATTACATCCAGCATACACTCCTAAAGATTTTGTGGTATTTTACTCTTCATCATAACCACAAGTCTAGATTACTGTTACATTGACAAACAAAAAACATGACTACACATTGACAAAACATCACAACAATTTTGGGCATGAAAAGCATACAACTTCATACATTTCAACAATAAAAAGTAACAGAAAGAAAAAACTATATTTAATTCATACGCATATCTTGAAAAGCCTCGATCCCCAGTACTGGAATTATACATATACATGTACTTATCTCATCCATCATTTCTACCAGATTCATCCATTCAATATTTCCATATACAAATATACATGTAGGAAAGTGGAAAATAGGAAATCCAACTAAATATCTGTGACCATATATCATGCACCCTTTTTTGTGTTGCTGTCATGAATGGCTTTCAACTAGAGCCGATTGAGTCTTTTCTCAATGAAAGGCTCATATACAAGACCTTACTTAGAGCTCATGTGACCATTTGGGAGAGCAATCTGATAGTATTTACATTTCTAGATTGTCGTAAGAACATGAAGACCTAATACAATGTCATTAAAAATCAACTTGTAAGAGGTCTGATCGTGTTATACCTGTTACATTTAGGCAAGAAATATTGGTTTTCATGGTAAACAGATGAACCATTGGAACTTCTCGCAGCAAATCAATATACTGAAATCAAGTCAAAATTATATATCCTTCAATCACATCGCCCTTAAAACAAAATATACATGCAGCTAAATCTACATTGAGACAACAGGAACCTACATATACACACCTTTGATATAATACAATCATATAACCACCAGTTGAGCATATGTACAAATAAATCATTATATTCTACAAGCTGAAGAAATTACAAAATAGCCAAAATGTACATATCAAGCAATGAAACAAGAATGTGCGTGTGATTTGGTATAACAAGTTTCTAATAATTTAGTGGAAATGCGGTATACAGCTTAGAATTCATACATTGTTGATAAAAATCCAAAAATATATATAAATTATAGCAACTTACTCTCTTCTTAATACATGTAAATTCAGGAAAAATGACATGATGACCTTCCAGGGTCAAACAAAATATCGACCTCAATACAATAAATATCATCTTGAAGTTGTATCTGGGCCACGTACCATATAGAGTTGCAATTGATCTGAATCAATGGCAAGTCCTCTAATATCAATCACAAGCTTACAGTCTTCTATCTCTTATGTACATTGTTTATAAGCCAGGGCCCAGATTTTAATGTCTAAAAGATACTAATTATACACACAAGAATATTAGCATCAGTCTTTGGTAGAAATATTTGATCCATCCTCGACATAAACACATTTGCTTAAAGAGAACAACACGTACCATCACACACACATGTACATTTGATAAAGAAGTACAGATCATCATTACTCAATCATAGAGTCATAAAAGGGTTTTACTCATTGGACACATTCATTGGGCATTTCAAACCGTATGATGTTACCCATCATCCAACAAAAATATGGGCTTTCAATAAATCATTCATGAGCGACCGGAAATAACGCGGTTGTAGAGATGACCCAGCTTGACACTATCAGTTTGGGAAGAAAATAATCTGCATTTGACGCATTATGAATATATCCTATTCTATTTGCATCCTGAGACAAAATGATGCCATCCTATCCAAATATGCATTCATTTGAATTTTTAAGAAGCATTAAAATGTTTTTCATGAATTTGTATAATTGTCTTTTTATTAAGAAAAACAAAATTAGTAAAATTTTCCATTTTGATTTGTACATTGTAAAAATGGGACCATTAGTTCTTGGATATCTTCATTGAATATTTGTTCTAAAAAAACAACATTCAATTATATGGAAGTAAATTTTGAACCCAAGGTAGTCACATCTATTTGTTGAATGAACTATTAAAGTGACGATACTGGTTGCTGGTCTTGGAACTGGGATAGTTGTTTCCTTAGCCCTTAGGATAAATCATGAAGACTTTATTGGACATAAGATAACAAGACAGAGTAACATTATTTAAAGCTTGAGTGTATTAACATGATATTTTGATCCTATGTTTTGGCCCTGTATTGAAGTACCAGGATAATGAGGTTGGTCACACAAGCCTACAGAACCCATTATCCAGGGTGTATCTTTGATTGATCCATTATTGGGGGGCACAACTTCCCCTGATTGAGGTCCTTCACAACGGATCCAGGCTAACTCGGACCCTGGGACAATTCGGCCCGCTGTAAAAACGGTCATTTTACCCTAACCCTAACCCTAACCCTAACCCTAACCCTAACCCTAACCCTAACCCTAACCCTAACTCTAACTCTAACTCTAACTCTAACTCTAACTCTAACCCTAACCCTAGACCTAACCCTAAACCTAACTCTACCTCTAAACCTAACCTTAAACCTAACCCTAAACCTGCAAAAACTGACTATTTTTGCAGCGGCCCAAGTTGTCCCCGGGTCCGAGATAGCCCGACTCACTTCACAACATATGAAGCAAGTCCATATGAGTCATCAAAAAGAATCATGTTGTCCGATGGAGATTCACTATCTTCTGCCAAACTTTGAGAACAATTTCAGTTACGTCCACTGCATCAGTCATCCATAAGAGTTTCAACCATTGTAAATTTCAACTTCATCTTTTTTTAACCAGATGATTACCATTTGATGTGATACAAGGATTGTCCATACGCTCCAGCCAGAGTTGACATCATCTCTTGGTATTTAACAGCGCAGGGTCTCATGAAACTGCTGTAAGTACAAGTTCACCGACATCCCATTGAAACGCGTGTTAAACTTATGACGGTTCGATGATACGCTGCCCAGGTGAACGTCGGCTAATCTGACTCACTCTCCTCTGCACTCTTTGCAGAGCGCCACCTGCCCCCTGATGTAGTCCCTGCATGGACACACCCGCTTGTGGTTGGAGCCACCCCCAGCACAGCTGTAGAGAAGGTGGTGGGCCTGTGTGTAGCATTTGGTTGATAAGAGTGTAGACTCCATGGCTGGGGCATAGATCTCCTCTACAGCATATGCACTGGAACACTTTACTGCAGTGGCACTGAAAGGGTTAAAGCACAGGATAAGAAAGAGTTACATATAAAGGCTTGTTCATATATTTCAAAAGCTCCCTCACAACAAAAATGACATTTGTTTTTTATTATTCAATTCAGTTTTATTCAATTCCTATAAAATATACAAAACAGAATACAAGTATGACAGAATAACAGTATAAATCCATCAAGAGTACAAAATAAAGAAAAATGATAAAACAATAAAGCGATACATCAGATAACAACACAAGATAGAGCATTATTGGAATTGGGTGGTCATAAAAAACCATGAGGATTTGTCGAGACTACCACCCTCTTAGAAATCAGTTGTGATTTTTTCCATTTATGTAATCAATTTTTTTTAATGACGGGTAAGGTATGATATAACTCCTTGACCAGGAAAAGGACAAGTCCTCTGTCAGTATTTGTTAATTTGGTGTCCTACATGTTGTTCAGGAATGTGGGGTTCTGCAAGGAAATTGATATAAATTGCATCACATCACCTCATACATGGTCTGGGGGGCATTTCACAAAGCCTTTTTTCAATGACAAATAACAAAAATCAGTGACAAATCTGCTGATAACCAATCAGAAGCAAGGATTTCAGTAGCTTATAACACAAATTGTCATTTGTCACTGATGACAAGTTTTGTGAAACGCCCCCCAGGTCTAATCTTTAGTAGGGCAATTAATTTAAAACAAAGATCAGGGTCCTGTCATACAAAGAGTTGCGATCGATCCAAATCAATCGCAAGTCCTCCAATCAATTGCAAGTTTGCGATCTCTTGCGTTCATAGTTGCGATAAGTTGTGATTTATATCAACTCTTTGTATTAAAGACAGGGTCCAGATATACTCAAATCTGAGATGAGGTCAGTATGGTACGGAATGTAACAGCTTGCATTTGCCTATATTGTCTTCTCCTTAAAGATAAAACAGACATATGGCTTGTTCATAAATGATGTGGGAAAGCCACACTTAAATCGTAATTCAAACTCCATTTTCCTTTCTTAGTTAATTGTATTTTACATCATAAGGCTAAATTGTACACAACGGTTATCATACATAGTTTACTTACTTTTCAACAGTCTCCCTGCTATTCAATTGTTTAAAGAATCCAGGTTCACATATAAGATCTGCAAAATGAAAGAACAAGAGTAGACATGGATATGAGCATTGAGCAAGTTGTTATATTCATCTCAGAGGTGTCGTGGACGAGTGGATATGTCACCGGACTGTGGATCACAAGGTCAGCGGTTCAAGTCCCACCGCGGCACTAATGTCCTTTGCCAAGACATTGATCTACATTTAGCCACTCTCCACCCAGGTGTTAAATGGGTACCCGGTAGGATGCGAAAGCTAATGTACTTAGATTAGCAAGTGTGCGCTTGTAAAAATGACGCCTGGCTGGAATGCTTCCCAGGGAGTGGAGAACGTGCATACATTGTGTGCGGATATGCCTGAATCCGATGACCGGTATAATAATATATATATCTAAAGCGCTTGAAGAGTGCCTTCGGTCCTGAAAAGCGCTATATAAGAACAAGCTATTATTATTATCTTTTTTTTTAAACATAAGTTCAATGTGTGCATAAGTAGATAATAAGAGCAAATCATATAGAAGTTGACCTATCCTCATGATTTGTTTTCTTTCTTTAGAAAAAAAGAGGAAGGTTAATCAGAAAGATTAAATCAAATGCCACTGATGCACCTTGCATTCTTTCAGGACAGGCATTATTTTATTTGAAATATATGAAACAGCCAAGCACCTAAATACAAAACATTGAAGGAATTATGTTAGAAAGGGGTTTCAACACAGCCAATATGTATGAAAAAAGTGTTTCTGAACTTGTATTGTATTTATTCGTCTATTCATGGTTAAACTCACAATCAGTCAAAACATACTGCTCTTCAGCGAGTCCATGCACATGTTTGTTAAAAAACAAGTAAAACTATTAAACACAATAACATTGACAAACAAATATAGAACAAATTCAAATATCTACAAACAAATATTTGAAAGAATGAAAATCACAAAAAGATAATCAATTAATAATACTCATAAAATTGTCAAGACTTACGATTTGTACACCACCTAGCCCCCCCCCCCCCACCCCCTTTCCCAATTAATCAATGTGGTTGACAATTTAAGAATTCCTTTGCATGATTTTGTACTAGAACAACTTTGCATAAAACATCATGGGAAAGCAATAAGAATACTCCTCATACTGATATATGTACATCTGGAAAATGTTTTAAGGTTCTGAAACAAATTTTTTTTGAGCCAAACCAGAAGATGTAGGCTATAGCCCTGAATGGGTTAGGCGACCTCCGATACAAAGACAAACCTCACACTCTCCCACATTTCTGTTCTGAAATAATTTTGAATAATTCTGTACAGCAGATTTAACCATTGCCTACATCCATTGACAGCATGCTAGTTTCAAGTACCTTTATCATCCACTGAAAGCATATGACTTTACAAGTAAGCTTAAGCATAATCAGCATTCTGGATATAACAAAAGATAAGCTGTCACTTTCAAATACTATCTCATTCATAACCCATAATCGCTATGCTCAAAAGATGAATATTTGCACTTGGTAGTTTCATGAAGAGAAAAAAAGAATCTTTCTGAATGCAAAGTGATTCTCTTTTGAGGCCACAGTATTCTTTTCATGTCCTTTATACTTAAAGAAGAATTAACCTCTTTATAAGGAAGCATTATCACGACATAGAGTAAAACAACGTTTCAGTCACCAGACTGCAGATCACAAGGTACAGGGTTCTTTGGCAAGACGTTAATCTACATTCGCCACTCTCCACCCAGGTGTAAATGGGTACCAGATATGCTTGGGCGCTAGTTAACTTTGGCAGCTCGGCTACGACCAGGGTAATATGTGTAAAGCGCCATGAGCATCGGAGCCTGACGGATACTGGCGCTATATAAATAACCATATTATTAATATGATATAAAAAGAATTGCTGTAGGCCAAATAATATTGTCTTGCAAGTACAATAAAGAGACCCTACTCCGCCATATTTACTACGTCGTCTGCTGCCCAAGGAAGATGCTATTTTGTCAAAATTCCCCTTCAAAACTTCTGGGTTGTGACGTATCGCACGGAGTACTGATGTAGGGCGGCGATATGCCTAGAAGCATGCGTTATAAGCAATACACATCAAACATGGTGTTCTGCCAAGTGTTTGGTTGTAATAATTGCTCCTCGGAAACCAAGGGGAAACTGTTTCACCAGTTTCCATGCCCACACAATCACAGTGAAATATTCCAGCTATCGGTAGCAGCTCTGAAGGTGGAGAAATTTCTGGACGAAAAGTACAAGTACAACAGGAAAAGGGATGTGATCTGCAGTGATCATTTTACAGAGGCAGATTACCGAGTTGACATGAGAGCAAAATTGATGGGAAGAAAGGCACAGGGGCTGCTGAAAGAGGATGCAGTTCCGTCAATTTTCGCCAATAGACCGGTACAAAATCCCGTCATCAACAGAAAAGGGGATAGTTGAGATAGAGGCAAAAAAGGTTGTAATTTAATGTCCCAATTGTGTGCAATATTGCTACAAATTGCAGTGGTTATTAGAAAATCTTTGTTTTCATTGCGCTGTATATGTAGTTTACAGCAGGGAAACCTACGGATGCAATCCAACGTACTAATCTGTCGACTTCCATGAGATACATCACAGAGTGGGCCGTGCGCAAACACAATGGCGACGTTCTGAAAATAGACACATTTTCTCATTAAAGTGAGATTTTTTTATTTCTTTTAAAAAAGCTGTTTTGGAAATTATCACATAATAATCTTGCTGGAACCAAAACAATCTAAATTTTGTAGCTTTGCATTTTTTTTTAATGTGAAAGGTGTCTCCTGGGGTTTTTCCCGCTTGTTTTCCAAGACCTATAGATTGCTGCTTAACTAAAATGCACTGAACCATTAGCAACAACAGCAACACAATCCTTTAATGTGTTTTTTTATGACAGAAAACAATCCCTGTAAATGGTAATCTTATATAAATCTTTGCTCGTGTAACTCTGTTATCCAGGATCCGCAAGTCTTTTCACCACCTGCTACTGTTAAAGCGAGTTGAGATGGATTCAAAGATTCAACTTGATAGCTAAAGAAAGGCGGGTGGATGCTCTCCATTTTTCATACCGGCATTAACATTTTGTTTGAATAAACAAGATGGAAGATATCATTCCGGAGCCCTTCAAGATTTAAATTTGTTCGTAAGTGAGCTATGGTGGGCGGGGTAGTTTTCTTAACTGCTTCTCTTCTCTAGACATCAAGATGTTTATGATTGAGAACAGATATCGCCAACCCATTACAGTGTATGAATTTCAGATTTGGGGCATGCGTGCACATACAATCATGTATGATACAAATATTGCATGCTTCAGGGTTTTCGTTATAACAAAATATATGACAAATTCGGATTTTCCAGATTGATGTTATATTTCACTGAGGCCGCAGCCACAGGCAGGCCTTGGTAACTATAATGGCACAAGAGACATTCTGAATTTGGAGGTGAATATATGCAATATTAAAGTGACTCGGTAACATTGTTGAAGGTTGAGGAAAAAACTGCATAATTTTTGTCTGAAATGTTCCTTATTATAATTCCTTCTACTGTACTTGGCCTCTAACAGGCAAAAAATCCTGAAAAAAATTCTCAAACCGCAAAGTTATTTATGGTTTTCTTTGAAGGCGTCACTGCGCAACACCATCTAACAGTAAATTCTCCCAACCAGTTTTGAATTTTCACAACCATTTTCCCATAAAAATAAGACATAAAACAGGCTTTTAAAAATAATTCAATACTTAAACGTTTGGAATGGATTGACATCCACCTAAAACGTAAATAAATTGTAATAATATAGTTGGGAGAAATAAGGTTTTGATCAGATCAGTTTTTCCCAATTTGTATCATTAATAATGGTCTGTTTTCACTCAAACTTTCAGATTATCTTTAATTGCACATCTCGCATTGAAGTCACTACCTGAAGAACCATTTTCTCTCATCTGAACAATGTTACAACCGGTAAGTCCCTTTAAGCAACAAAATGCATGCAATATTTGCAATGTAAAATCTTGGGTATTTGCAATCTCATACATGTATGTAGCTCCTTTTGAGTCAGGCCCTCACAATTACATACAGGTTGCCTTTGCGTCCGATGTGTGCAGCTATCACATTGCAAACAATGGGTTCAAGCAGGGAAGATAGGATAAAATAAGTTCATGAGAGTACTTTAAAAATAAGATAAATAATTACCATGGCAACCAAATTAAACCATAATTTTAGTAATCAAATATATGCCAGACATGATCATTTGAATATTCTAATATTTAAAAAATAATGAAAAATTCTATGTTTTTGGACCGAGCTTGGTTTGCTCTCTCTTTTTTATTTTTTATCGGACAGCTGTTCAAGGGGAATAAAAATGCATATTTTAATAAAAGGAGAAGACGGAAAGAATGTAGGCGCAAAAGTGAAATTTAGGTCACAAAATGGCCTTGCGCTGCTATTCCCACACTCGTGAATGGAGGGGCATATACATGTAGGTGTGCACATGGTAACAAAATCTATGTCCACATCTGGATTTTAGCAGCACAAATTGACATTCTTTTCAACTTCCAATCTTTCAGCTGTACATTTACTACTAACACTGCAAACGTATGCTATTTCCTCTGTTATGCATGTGCAAGCAAATATATGTATCTGGACTGCATTTTTAGCAATACATTCACCTGTATCATAATGATGCCCTACTTTTAAGATTTATGCCAAACTGTCTTCTTTATTTTGCACCTAAACCTCTGTTAATCAGACCTGAAGTGCTGTGAAGATGTAATATTTGCTGTACACATAGTAAAGCATCAGATACATCATCTGTCTAGGACTTGACATCTTCTTGTCATGAGAGGGCAGCAAATATTTATACTGTTTATCCAACATTTAATGACAGTACTGATCTGTAGCATGTGCAAAGCGGTTATTTTGTCCCCTCAGACACCATTGCCTCTTGACATTCATTTACACATTTAAGTGGTTACATTTAAGATGAAAACTTGCAGTATAATGATGCTGAACACAAGAACAGGGTGCTCATTATTTGTTTCAGATTAATCTTCACTTGTGTGTTCCTCATAAAAAAAGGTTCTAGTCTCTATACAGACAAAACCCTGCTAAAGGCTTTATTTCATTATGGATATACATGTAGCTGGTGTAGGGTTGAGGTTGTCATTGAGTTTTAGATTAGGTTTACGATTTGGGTAAAGAATAGTTCAGAGTCCATGAGTGAAGATATTCTGTTCATGTTGAACATTGACAATTGAGCAATTGTTTCCACATTTGTGTTGTATAATCCATATTATAAATACTGTGCTTATAAAGCGATCATCGCCGAAGTCTCTAAGTGCTATAACAAACAAAATACCATGATAAACAATTACATATTAAACAAAACAAACAATTACAAATAAACCTACAAATTACAATACATATGAAATATATATCAATGTGAACAGAGTAAGTAAATCATCCAAAGTTATTTTGAATAAATGTGTCTTCAGACAAGTTTTGAATTGGTTGACAGTCTGACAGTTTTTGACATGTAAAGGTAGTTTGGAACAAGTTCAGCAGGAGCTTTGCAAAAACAGCAATGACCGTAAGAAAGAGTTGACATCGAAGTGGACAAGAGGTTTCATTGTGAAGATGACCATAGATTTTGTATTCCTGGATTAGTTCTTGCAGATAAATTGGTGCCAATTCATGAATTCATTTATAAGTTAAAACCAAGATTTTGTACATAGTGCAGTACATCACCGACAACTGACCCTTAGATCATATCAAATAATGGTCAAACACAGTCACTTGTGATTTATTTACAGAGACATATAACAATTTTTGTATTGAAAAAAGGAGTGCAATAGTTTCCAATTCCATCCAGTATTTTTCTTAAGTACGCCATGCAGGGCTGTGCATGTAGCGGTAGGGGCACTTCTATTGTGTGGGGGATACTACCCATGTGTGTGTGTGTGTGTAATGTGAGTGAAGGAAAGTTCGCTTGTACTCGTGTGTGGATGCTACTGGTTGCATGAGGGGTTTACTTGTCATAGATTAGGACATAGACCAATCTTCAAATGAGGATCTAGGAGTTGTACAAAACAAATAATGCATGCATTCATCGTTGAGGCAGGATATGCATCTAACATACTCGGCTTGACTGCCTCGTATTAAGACAGCTGCACACATTCCCAACTCGAGTGCAAATAGATTGTAAATTGAACTCATATGAACGCATCTTTTGTATGCTAACTCAATATCTCATAATACATGACATATGATAAGGCCTAAAGAAAAAAGATGTTGTATTGACCTTTGCGACCGACCCAAAAATCTTGAAATCTACGGTCGGCTTTTTAAAAAGTTTTTTTTTTTTTTTTACAGTTTTTTAGAAAAAACATGTATTAAAACATTCAAAATTGAGAAATATCAGCCCAAAGAGGGAGTAAAAAAAAAAATAAAAAATAAAAAAAAGAAGAAGATTTTTGACCGACCCACGTTTTGGCACCTTAAGGGCAATACAACACCTTTTTTTTTTTTAGGCCTAAGGGAAATTGAAAGACCTTTAGGGATGCACTTACCTTCCTCCATGCATCTATCTCTACACGACTGTCCTATCCCTGACACTTTGATCTGGAGGGTGGACAATGGCGGCCATTGCTTCTCTCCCGTACAGAATTCCTGAAAAAAGAGTCAACAAAAATATGAAAGTCAGTACACAACCAACAATAGCATCAAACCGATACCCTCACATGGACCCCACTTCATGAGTGTTAAGTTTTACATGAATAAAATAATTGTTGATGTATTATTGAATGCCTTAAAGCCACACTGCACTACTTGCAGCTACTTGCGCCCTCTATATAACAAACAATGCCTAAGCGGTACCCATTGGTCCACCATGATCCCCTTTTTCTTAAGTTAATTGAGAGCTGTTTTGATGAGATAACCACCTGTCAGTGACCATGCAGGGAGGTCTAATCCCTCCTGGCCAAACTAGTGCAGATATAATTTAAAGGGCCGTTCTAAATCAAAAGTAAGAACTTCTATACAATAAAGAAACTTTACAATGTTATGCAACAAAACAGAAACAAACAGGTATCGAAAAGTATGTGATAAGAACAACTTAATTCATATAGAGATATGTGTGATCTGTTTGTAAAATACCATTCCAAAATGCAAATAAATGTCAGGTATACTGCTGACGGTTTTAATCTGTTGATTATCAACTTCTCTGATTCTCCTATTTTTAATCTACAAACAATAAAGCCTGCCGGGAGATAGGTACAATACTTCTAGAGTTTCCCCATTGTTGCATTATTACTCCAGTTTTGATAATACTTGGAAGAAAAATAACACGAGGCTCCCAAATGGGCAATTTTAATTCAAGGTTCAATGCCGTTACAATAGATTTTGTTCCCCCCAGAAAGTACAACCACCTCCTTCGCACCCCACCCCTTCCAAAAAGAACATATATCATTGTCTACTCATCATTTCACCCACCTGCTTTTGAAGATAACTACTGACTCTCTCCAACATGCCATGGCATGTGAATTCAAAGGGAAGGTATGGTGTTGTTGTGTTCATTGCGGCTATCTTGTCTAGTGCTACGTCCAGCTCGCTGCCCAACACATCGACTGTCCATACATGGGGCTGTCCAATGTAAACTTCTGTGTAGGGATGCTGGGATGTCAGCTGTGAGGGACATATGAAAAAGAATAATGATAACAATACAGTCAAACCTGTCTATAAAGACCACCCAAGGGAAACAGACAAAATGGCCACTGAAGACAGGTGGCCTTTCTAGACAGGTTCTACAACACATATTTCTCTCTTGAGGGAGACAAAATACATGGCCACTATAGACAGGTGGTCTTTATAGTCAGGTTTGACTGTATTAGTAATATAATAATGATGATTATTAAAATATATGATATTAGAACTTTGTATAGTGGTGCTCCAACATAACCCCATCTCAATTTACTGACTTGGAGGTTATAGCATTCAAGGAATTCTTTCCTACTTGTACCACCAGGGTGAAGAGTGGCAAAAGTTGATTTATGTCTAGCTATAAAAGGACACTAATGCTGCACTGGAGATCAAATCAAGCACGCACGATGAATATTACCACTTGCTATTTATTTCTCCCTTGAGAGGCATTGTTTTTCTGAGATGTCTTTCTTCCATTAGGTCGTTTACCACCTTATGTCTTATAACATTACATCAATGGGTCTTTATAAAGTTTACTAACCACTACAAATATTTTTTTCTCTATGTTAGAGGATCCCTGTCGCTAAACTACATATTCAAAATAAGATTTTTTTTTTAATGTTCCTTCTATAAAGAGTTATAGCAAGTTTAAATACTCTAGTTAAACATTAAAGTGACCCGTGTGAAGACGAATTAGAGCACCCATAAATGCTCACCTAGAAAAAGGGTCTCCACAGACCCTGACTCGGGTTCCGTCCACAGGGCTTTATGTTATTGCTTATTTTATTCATACTCCTTGACTGCTAGCTCATACAATACCAGATTCAGTTTTTTCAGGTTGATTAAATACATCTAAAGCTGTAAACAATTGTTAAAGTGATTGGTACCCTTAATCGATAGAATAAGTATTCTTACCGCTCTACTTGTTGGCTTGCCCTGGAAAAATTTGGTGTTTTGGTAATTTTTAGGCGGATTGAATTTGGGGTTGAGAAAGACACAGCCATTGGCCACAGCTTCCAGTGGAGCGGGACCCTCGTAAGGAAACCCAAGACCTATAAAAAGCTGCAAGATGAAGGTGAGGAGAAGACACAATATATTAGAATCACAGATACTACCAATTATTACCTGTATCAGACATCTGAGCAGTTTTACAAAATTCTGGTTTTACAAAATCATATTACACTTGTTGTAATCCTAAAAGAGATAATCAGTAAATATGAGACCATATTACCATCTCATGAAAAGCCTATGGACTTTACGTGTTAAAAAAGCAGGAAATAAGTCTTATATTCACAGCGCCGTATTTTGTCATTTTCGTTTCTTTGCGCGCAGTCTATTGAGACGTAATAATCACACCAAATGCACACTGTTTGCAATGTATCAAAAATTTTGTCAAGCACTGGATACACAGTGCTGGTTTCACAAAGTTTTTTCATTTCTATGAGATTGTCATGGTTGATTTATGTATTTGCTCTAGATGTCTGAGTTGGATAACATTAACAATATTGACTGGCTTAACTTTCGGGAGATACCACATATATTTCCCTCACAAGACCCATATTGCCCTCGTCTTTGACTTGGGGAAATATGAGTCTAATTTGGGAAACATATGTTGTATCTCCCTCAAGGCCAGTCCATATTATATAACTATTGACTAAACCCAATATTGTAGAACCTTCTACAGAAATGCCAGCTCTTTGCATGAGCCATTGCAGACCTTATGGCAACGTGCCAGATACCCAATATGTGAAGTCTCGTCAATAATTACCTAGAGTGACACTTGAGATTGACCTAAAGTTTGCACATTGTAAAGATGAGGGTATTAATTATATTTGGAGTCAGATTTATAACCATCATTAATTGTTATCATGAAACCAAATTGTCTGAATATTGTTCTAAATTATATGACACAGAAAAAAGGCCATGGAATTGTATGCATAACATATAAATTCACATCATATGATGTTACCACCTGTGCCAGTCCAAAGCTCAAAATAAAATATAATAAAAAGGTGTTTTACAACTTTTTGTGTATAATCAATCCAAAGTGTCCAAAGTGTAATATAAAACTTGAAACAGGACACTGTTCTGAAAATATTGTAATGTTTTCATGACGGAATGTGAACAACACAAGATTGTTGTATTTGTTGGGCTTATGCAAGTCATGGAGAAATCAAATATATATGTATGGCATGGGCATCAATGTGATTGCACATGTATGACATAAGTACAACATTCCTTAGTTTTTAAAGGATTATAAAATTCAAATAACACATGCTTAATTTTCACATTCGTCAATACAGAGAGAAGAAGCTAGACAGGATAGATAGGTACTGTAGAATTTGTTTGTGATTTCTATAAAGTGAAGATCATTTTCAGAGCAAGAAACTATAGGGAATTGCCAAAGTTCAAGTTCCTCAAGTTCAAGTTGTACATCTCTTATCTTTTGGCATGAAACAATCTTGAATCTCAAATATTATTGAAATTTGCAAGAGTTCCAAGATGTTCAGTCATAGCAAAAAAAAAAGTTGTTTTTAAAAAAATGAAGAAAAGAGAGGGGACTAAAGAGAGAAAGAACAAGAGAGGCAAAGAACAGGAGAGAGAGAGAGAGAGAGATAGTGAGAGTGAGAGAGAGAGAGAGAGGGGATAGAGGGGGAGGGGGGAGTGAGAGAGAAATAGAGAGAAATAAAGAGAGAGAAATATTAAGCACAAACCTTTGTTTCTTTTAATAAATTCTGTATCTCTGCACCAGATACGATGCCATGGTTTACCACATAGTCGGGTATCACATTCTTCATGGCGGGAGTGGTTTGGTTCATGAACACTGTGCCATGAATCTCAAATTTTTTGTGAATCTTGTCCAGGTATCTTCTAATCCAAGGATCCTATATAAAGAGAAGTAAACAGGTAAAAATAAGAATAATTGGAACAATAGCAACAATAACAATAACAATTATCTCTTCTTAAAGAGATAATCCCCAGGATGCTTTCTGGGTAAAAGTGAGCTTTCTCACTCTTGGTTCAGATTGGACGAACATCACAGAAGAATGTTTTTTAAATACCCTCACATTCAAAATAAAATCAGACATAGCTGAAGAGCATGGTCCAAACTATCATTCCATATGTGCATCTAAAATAATAAAGGAACCACATGGAAGGGTTAATATATCGAGGAAAAACAATTGGTCATCGGATTCAGGCTTACCTGCACACAATGTATGCAGATTCTCCACTCGCTGGGGAGCATTCCAGCCAGTTTCTACTTTTACAGTACTCCCCTCTTGTCCCACACTCTTAGGAATCCCATACGAGTATTTCATACATGTACTCACAGTCCAGAATTTAGCACTTTTTCCATAGACAAGGGCACGGTTTGTTCTCTTGGTGGAACTGTCTGCTTTGGTTGTATCCATCTGATGATCTACTACAAAACCCATAAAAGAATTGTCTGGTGTATGAGCTGAAGAAGAAAAAAAGAAATTGAAAATCATGAAAAAGTAAAGTTATTGGTCCATATTCTACAAACAATTAAAACCAATGCTGGATTTAGGTTGGGTCTAAAATAGAGTTTAACAAGGAGGTTAGACAAAGGTCTAAGTTTTCCCTTTCTTCAATAGTTTAATTTGATTTTTTTTTAATTGAGTATTGGTCATTGAGATTTAGGAAGTGTTTCACAGTCATCATGAGTTAGTTTATTGTAAAAATCAATGTCTTTTATGAAGAGTTTAATAGGAACTACAACATCCTGATAAAGTTACAAACTAAAACATCCTTCCAAATTTAAACCATTTTAATAATGCATAACACTTATCATTACTATTACAGTTTAATATCATTATCACTATTATATTGATATCAAAACATAGACAATGACATCAACATCAATTTCAACATCATGGTCATCTAAATCAGTCTTAAAATCATCAGTATCATTATCATAAATATCACTATCACCATCACTAACATTATTGTTACTATCACTATTATTTTGGTTTGCAGCATTATTATGATATTAAATTACTCTAGCATCATGCTCAACTCTTCTCAGATGTCTAATACTCTGTGAAATGTACACATCCTCCATGGAAAAGTCACATCCTAAGACAAGAGAGAGACAGAGAAAAAAAAAGAGACTTACGAAACATAGTGAAGAACTGCCTTGGGACCAGGTTCCAGTTCCCCCAGCTAGACTTGGTACCAGCCTTTTTGATGTAAACATCCACATTGTACGCCGGCTCTGTTCCAAAAGAGTCTATAACCCTGAGGATGCAACTGAAAATTTTAGGGAAGAAAAAAATAAAATAAAAGTGACTTGAAGAGTGGGTGAAATGGTGATAATAACAAAACTTCAAGTAAAATTAGAAGAAAAAAAAGGCATAATTTGAAAATGCAAAACTAGTTATGATTACAAATTAGAAATGAAAAAAAGTTATTGAGCTGAGGAATAGTTTATTAACTAGGAGGTCGTGATATCTAAACTGAGTCGGTACACTGAAGTCTTTGGTAATTCCTGTAGCTATTCAGTACAGTAAGTACCATAATCTGCCCAAATTTAGTACTGCATGAAAATTGTGTTGATAAAGAAGACTTTGTCAGTAATTTAATTATCAAATACAGTTTCATCAATTGTAAAAATAGATATCAAGTATTATTATCTATATAAGACTTCCAGGTGGTACAATAAATCAATGCATTCAATATCTTTAGCGCAGTACCCCGATGACTGACCAATATTGTTTTTGTATTGTTCAGTCATCCGGAAACTTCAATATCATGGCGATATCACACAAAAACAAAGCCATATTTACTGAGGTAAGACTAATATAGATGATAATAATAATAATAGTAATATTGTATGGCTTTGTTTTTGTGTGATACAAGAATATATTGCTCTCGCTAAGACAATATTAGACTCGTCTTTGACTCCAATGTTGTCATAGCTCGAGAAATATATTTTTGTATCACACTCAAGGCCATCCAATATTATATAAACAATGCTTGAATCAAGGTGTACAGGTTTTAAAGATATTTTTGATAACTCTTATCATAAACGTTTAATTTTGACATATATTTGTAAAAAACGTATATTTACATAAAGTCCACATCTACATGTATACTGTAATAACATATCTAATTCAGTTTGTACAATCAACAAATTTCATACACATCCAATCGAGCATTGTGCATATATGTACACTTTGCCTGTCCTTCAAATAATTCATAAGTACGTACAGCTGTAGCCTCGATAATAAAGTCTCTAGCTCATATTTATTAAAAGGTCATGATGACATTTCTATCGTGATATGTCACGTGTCTAATGGTGTATCTTTTTCCTTCAGACTTTATGAGCTTCCATAAATATCTGCTTACAGTCGTTAAAAATACACACACTCATGCGTGTATGCACGTCAGACCTAGCAAAATAATGGAAAATATTTGGGTTGAATGTTCTCTATATGTACATGTACAACCAGGCTGTGATGAATGTGAAAGGGACATGAGCAAGCTATGAACAATTGTCTTCACTTTCTGCCTAATTAGATATCCAGGTCTGATCTATCAACATTCCAAAACTCTAGACTTTAAATCGATCTCAACTGAGTTTACTTTTTTTTCATCTTGACTACACTACTTCACATAATTTTGGTTCAATATATGTTCCATCTACAATACTCTTCCATTTATTCTATTAATATTCTTCTAATCCTTCTCCTATCTATAATTCATCATTTTCACCACTGATATAGTGATATTCCCTAATATATACAATGATTCATTTTGATCATTGACAGTAACATCCCTCAATCAGTTCTCCCAAGTCGCAATATTCTGACTTTATTTCACAACACGCATGAAATGCTAATCCCCACAAGGCATCAATATACATGTATAACGCACACTTTTCAACTTGTTTGGAGACAACTTCTATAATTAGGGGAAAAAGGGTATCCCTTGAGCAGGCTCAAGGCCATTTTCGTTCTAAAAAAACAACCGGCAGCCTTGCTTTTTACTCTTTATCTTTCGATCATTTTCAGTTTATGTTTGTGCCATATCCAAAGACAGGTGATTATCTCATTTCCTACCCTCTCAAGAGGTTACTATCACCATGTCTCTTCAACAAACATGTTTTCTTCATATTCTCAAAACCTAGTCCCATTATAGCTATGATTACAGGTAATCTATGAATTGAAATATGAAAATAGTTTATCTGCCGAGTAAATATTTTATAAATAAAATAATATAATATGTTGAAAGATTGAAAGATTAATAAAAGATCAGTTGTTTTGCAATTTTGGAAGGTCTATATTTTCAGGGAGTGTTCCACAAATTGCATTTGGGGATCTACCATATCAGCAGAAATAGTTTAAGAGTTTTATCACTAGATGTTTGTCATAATTGACTGTCTTGATATGCAGTACCAAACACTTTGGATATATTAGATTTTTGGTCAAATTCCAAGAACGTTTAATTTTAAGATTCCAATTTTATTGTCCATATAGAATACAACAAATTCCAATGGTGGAATAGTGTCACACAATATGCAAAGGTAACAAAACATTAGCACCATGTGCTGGGAGCCTGGAGGGTATTAACTCATTCACGTCAACTGACCACATTGTGTGGTTTGTCCTGATTACAAGAAACTAGAACTGTTGACCTCAGAGTTCATCAGACTCTGCACTGTTAAAGCATACAAGTAAACACCCCTCTAGGTCACAGTAGATAACACATAACAAAAAACTTTATAATCTAAATATGTAGATAATAAGTATAAAATTCATAGCCACACTATTAAAGGTGATGAATGTAGAATATCGTAAAGGAATAAAAATATTTTGCCTTTTAGATATTGCACAAAAAGCAAACTAAACCATAATTTTTCCACACCCTCCAAAATGAAGGCCAACAGGGTTCGAATTTGCAGCAGCTACTGTGACAACATCACACATGCACCTGATCAGCTCACCTACATATGGCTGAGGCGATGAGCTGTACTTAATTCATGCAAAGTCACTGTGAATATGCTTACTCCACATACAACGATGTCATGAAGTCAAGGCTTGTTTATTAGGTCTACAACTTTTGGTTTTTAGATGTAAACCACAGCTGCAACCATGACAATAGGCTTTAATAAGTTCACAATTGACCTCCACCTTAACCTATATTTACCCCCCCCCCCCCCCCCCCCCCCCCCCGAGAAATTTTGGTCTTGTTTCCTAAATATCCCGCAAATTGATTGGGAAATAGTCTGCTTATTTTGCACCCGTCCGAGCTAGTTTGTGATGAGCGTATCCGTCTGGTAAAGGCGCAATTTCAAGGTTTGGGATAATATCCCGAGTCTAAAATAAGAGGTTATTTGGCAAACTCGAGCTGATGAAGACAGGCCTAGTATCTGTGCACTTAAAAGGGCAACTGGCTGGAAGTGGAGAGTGTGGATGCACTGTAAAGTATCACGCAAGTTGGTCGGTTTTATTGTAACTTCCAAGTTGCTCTAAAAACCCATCTCTTTCTAAACAGTGCTATTTAATCATGTCAATGTAGCGTAATAATTTGTGTTGTTTTAGTTTACTTTATTTTAGTTAAGAAAGTTATGTTTTTGTGATAGTAATACATTTATGTACAGCGCCATGAGCGTCAGAGCCTGGCGGATACCGGCGCTATATAAATATCCATATTATTATTATTATTATTATTATTGATGGCGCTTTATATAAAATGGTTGTTTCCACAAACGTGTATTGGTGCTGATCTTAAACTGAAAAATGCCATACTAGCCTACCTGAATTGTTGCCACTGTCCACCAATAGTCTTCTTCAGCTGTTTCATACCAACGATGTCAATGTAGACCAGATCATAAAGGTTCTTGCCCTTCACTGGACAGTTCATCTTGTTGGTTAATCCTTTCCTTCTCAAAAGACTGGAAGAAAGAAGAAAACAAGAAATATTTCATTTCTTATTGACAGGAAATATTAATCACAAGAAAAGGTCAAACCTGCTTTAATGACCACCTGTCTACTCGAACTACATTTTTGTTTTCATTGAAAAGAGTTTCTTATCTTAAAAAGAAATCAAAGAAACCTATCATACATAAAGACAACTTGACCCCCTTGAGTGGTCTTCATAAAAAGGTTTCACTGCCAAACCTCTTTAACATATGATGCAATTAGGCACCAAATATAAAATTGCCATGAAAAATACGAGTGACACATGGTTTCAGGCCACTTACTTTACTTCTCACTATTTTACTGGCTTGTCTCATACAATCTAGATTTGAAGCTTAGACTGGCTTGGAAACCTAACCCTTATACAAGTCATTCATGCAAGTAATAATTACACCATTTATCCCCACTCGAATTGAGATTGTATCCACGCATCATTTGTTTGATACGATGAAACCCCACGATCCTCGTATGTGATGTAGAATGGAGTGGTTTGAAGAGTGCTTCAATCATATCATTATCAATGGCAAGTTGAGTACATTTACTGGTACTTAGGTGCACATACAGAGAACAAGCACAATACCTCTACAATTTGTGTAAACACACAGTGCTACGTGTGTATTAGCCGCCACATAGATTTAGCGCATTTTAGTGCATCTCGTTAATCGTTCAAAATCGTCAGATGGTACTGGAATCTATAAGTGCGTGCCCTTTTCATGAGAAAAAAAAAAGTGGGATAGTCTCATTAAATGAATCACAGGTGATCATGTTTAACCAATCAAGTGATTAGGATCTAGGAGTAAGACGTATAATAATCAACAGAGCCTGTTCAATAGTCAGACATGTACATCATTTCCACTATTTCCATTTTGTTTCCTACCCAGAGCTGCCAACCTCCAGAACAGAAAATCAGTAATCACAAGGCTCAAAATCAGTAATTTTTGGTATAAATCAGTAATTTCCTATGCGCGGACGCATGATTGTCTGAAATTTTGGGTGATTTTACTCACACAAAGTCGTCACACAGGTCGTCACAACAAGTTCACAACACAGTTTTCCTTGAAAAATGGCTTCTATTAAGACAAGTTTTTTTATTTTTTTAAAATTTTTTAAAATCTGTAATTTGAGACATCATTCTGTAATGATCGTTAATTTACGTATCAATAACAGGAAATCCGTACTAGTTGGCAGCTCTGCCTACCCATAGACTTACTTTCCGAGTGTGGTAGTTGCAGTGGATATCTCTATGTCATGGCCCAGGATGTGGAGAGTGGATAGGATGTCACTCCACTGAACAAGCTCCCCGAGTGGACCACCGTTGAAGGCATTGTCTGCGATCTTGAATCCAGATTCTTTGGTCAACGCTCCAATATGAACCAAGATCTGAGCAAGTTTAGAAAGTATAAAACAAGAAAAGAATGTTGCATTATTTACAGGTTTAAAGATAAACTTGAGTTCTGGTAATGCGATTGCATTGTGAAAGAAAAGGTGTGAAATGGATCAGAAAAGTTGATCATATAGCATGTAAGTAATGGTGTGTAATGCAAGGTTCTGGAGTCATCAAAATCATCATAAATTTGGCAGAGTCTTGGTAAAGTAACAATCACTTACACAGAAAGATGTATATGGGACAACACACATGGTGTCGGGGCTAGTACTACCCTGATTTCCTTATCTTTCTATGCTCATTACTCAGCCAGTATACATTTTCTTCCAAAATTGTTTGGCACATGACATTTATTTGTAATCTTGAACATTCAGTGTAAGTTTCGTTAGATTCTGTGAGAATTCATTTTCTTTTTTTACCAGAACTCAAGTTTATCTTTAATTATTCAGGGGCTATTTGATGGCAAGAGAGGAAGGGAGGGAGAGGTGAAAGTTAAGTACAACGTGTGATGCAGATAGCAACAGCACAAACTACTAATGAGCAGTGAGCAATTTAGGTTGGGAAAGAGCACATAAGGAGAGTTTGTTAATAGAGTGGGGCAATCTCACTTTTACTGAAACAAATCAAAATTTAGGTTCCAAACCTAGACAAAATTTCATCCCAGATAACAAGCTATATCAATTCAATGATTAATGCACAATCTTCTTTTGAATTAAATATTACATTCAACACATTTCATATTACATTTTTGTTCCCTTTGATGGACATGACTCAAAGGATCGAGTACACACCATATGGCAACAAATTGAAATTACTAATAACGGTATCGTATATCAACCCATAGCAGTACAGCGTCACCTTTTAGTGACATATTTGCATTATTTTTTCATCCAGAATGCTAGGATGTACACATCATACATGTACATGGGCAGAAAGAGTAAAAATCAAAGAAATTGAGGCTATTGCAATGTAGTACATTGTGCTATTCTTGAATAAGAGCGCTCTTATTGTAACTTTGCAACGTGGTGTTATATATACATGTAACCACTCTTTTTGTGAACAAATTGGCAATTTTTTTGATTAAATTTTCAGATTTTCATTCGAATTGGTTTATTAATTAAATCTTTTTTATCAACAACATCAAAGTACAAAAATTAAAATGGAAAGGATCAATTGCTGCCAATTTGACGAGGAAAAAACTGATTACAATGGAAAATATGAAACCTCTGAAAGCCCTACATTGGGTTAAAAGGGAGGAAAACCAACATTGTAAGACACACCTTGCATCCTGCATATCAAGTGTTAAGATAACATTCTGTTGTCACTCGTGTAAACCTTTGAAATGTTGATATAACATTTTCGATATTTAGAGTGTGCAAAGAATGTCCAGACAAAACCTTTTCTTGTTTTTTTTTACAGCTGTGCCTTATTCTGTTTTGTATTAATTCATTTCACATGTATATACTATCCCAATTTATGTATTATATTGTACATAAAATTGTATGTTTTTACTTTGTAAAAATGTTTTTAAAGATGGAATTCAATAAACTGAACTGAACTGAACTGAATGCAAGGACACACTCAGACTACAGCATGAATGTAAACATAGAGACACAATAATAATAATAATATATAGGATTCATAATAATAATAATAATAATAATAATAATCTTTTAAAGTCCACTCCCGATTTTATTAAGTTAAACCGAAAATGGAAATTCTTTTTGCCCAATTGATCGTGAGCCCAGCAGCCACTGAGCAGCGCCAGGACCCTGTTTCATAAAACTTGTTATCCATAACAAGTTACAAGCTACTGTTATAAGCTACTGAAATCATGGTATCTGATTGGCTGAGAGCAAATTTGTCGTAGAAATTTTGCATTTGTTATTGAAAACAAGTTTTATGAAACGGGCCCCTGATCCACTTAATGTTCTAGGTGCACGAGCACTCATAACGCATTACTCATTCACCTTTGGAAGAGCAACAGATATCATGCTCTTACCAAATCAAATACCTACACAATGGCAGTTAGAGGCAAAGTTCAAAGACTATTCTATTGGTATTTAACCTCTCAAGAGGAACAAATAAAAACCATGTACTAACAGCTGTGTATTTCACCCTCTATATGCCATATAAACAATCTGCCTGTGCCACATTCCATTTATATCATGGGATAGATGTGGCTAAGGCTACAAGATTCTGTAACTGTTTTCAGAGCAAGATTAATCTAACAGCTTGTCAGGGAGCTGATCAACACTGGAAATGGGTACCCTAAATCTCTGTGTACAAGATGCATTTTCCCTGCCGAATTTTTTTTTGAAAGCCGGGGTGCGCCTTATACACGGGTAAAAAAAAAAAAGGTCGGTTTATGCCCCTCCACCTGGCACTGTGCATGGCAATGTCTCCCAGCTCAGTCGTACACGGTGTGTTGACTCACCACTCAGAAACTAGAACAACACTACCTGTAAGGCCAAATTTCTGTTTGGACTGTAATCTGTCATCTTTAGTTTTAAAAATGACATTGATACTATTATTTCTGACAAGTTCACAAGCACAAATTGGCGCATTAACTGCAATTCGCAGTAAAATAAAGGTCCTTAACCACATGGGTTTTTGAACACGGACCTGGCTTGCTGCCTACGGAGTCTGAAGAAGAAAAAAAAAAGAAGAAGAAAAAAAACAATTTTTTTTTTCCTTCCCCCCCCCCCCAAAAAATAGGGGCGCGTCTTAGACACAGAGATTTACGGTAATTTTGTAAAGCCAATGTGTTGCACAAAGCAATCCTTCCCTCAACCGGTGCCTATTGTTTTGGGTTAAAATGCACATGTGGCAAACAAGTGGGTGTGCAGACAGATGAAGAAAGCAACTGAAGTGTTGCTGGGGAAACCAGAAACCTTGAACGGCACACAGAGAGCAGCATCATGCAGTTCAGGTTAAGAATGCCCTGCACCAATTGTGTCGTTCACAAGTTATATACACAATAGGCCCGCCTTCACTATCTCGAGATTGCCAAATATCCAGCTACTTGAACTATCCCGATCGAAACTATCCAGCTAATTGGCGTCTTCATTAGACCGAAGTAGCAAATTAGCTGGATAGTTGGTCAGGATAATATCCCAAGATATCTCGGTCTAGTTTGCAAAATATCCCACTATTTCCGAACTAGCGGGATAGTTTGCGACTGTCTTCATTAGACCTAAGTACGGAGTCAAATATCCCGATCCCAGGCGATCTATACCGCTCAGCGCACTAGTACAACCAAGAAGTTACCTGGTGACTTCTTGGTACAACTGGTAAACACGGAAAACCGGAAATCGTTGTGCATGATGGCATCGGGATATTTGACTCTGTACTTCGGTCTAATGAAGATGGTCGCAAACTATCCCGCTAGTTCGGAAATATTGGGATATTTTGCAAACTAGACCAAGATATCTTGGGATATTATCCCGACCAACTATCCAGCTAATATGCTAATTTTCGGTCTAATGAAGACGCAAATTAGCAGGATAGTTTCGATCGGGATAGTTCAAATAGCTGGATATTTGGCAATCTCGAGATAGTGAAGACACGCCTACAGAGTCACTCAAAGTATTCACGCTTCATTTTATTACAATTAATAAAAACCTGCATCCTAGTACCGGTACCCATAAAACCATGCTTCAGCTCTAAATAAATTAGCATTGTAAATTTATTCCAACTCAAATTCGTCAATAGTACAAATTGCTCACAGATGTGCACTTCTTCTAAAGTTCTAGCTAAAAATCATCTCACAGGGAGCAGGAAAGTGTTGTAGGTTCACAAATGCAAATTGCTTGACAATTAAAGAATAAAATAGAGGTTCAGTACTTGAGATTTACCTTTTGAATCAGCGATGAGAACAGGGGGGGGGGGTGTTTCATAAAGCTGTTTGTAAAGTTACGCATGACTTTACGAACGACTTATATGAAAAACACAAATGGGATGCTCAATCATTATTAACTGCATCAACTAAAGTTGAACTGTGCAGATGTAGATTAACATTCTTATTATAACAAACATTTTTAATGCAAAGTATATTTTTGTGCATTAATTTAATTGAGGTTATTGAAAATATAGGCACACTTTGTTATTCATCAGGAAAACCTTTGGGCATCCTATCTGGCACTTCATATACAAGTCATTCGTAAAGTCATGCGTAACTTCACGAACAGCTTTATGAAAGACCCCCCAGGACCTAGTACTCAGATCCTTGTTTGTGCAAACGGGTCCCTGTTACAGCAACTTGCATGGTGTCAAAACAAGGGATTAAATAAATAGTGTAGCACGATCTTTGCCATTTTGTTTTACCTCAGGCCCAGGGAGTGGGTGAATGAGTGATGCTATTACCCCAAGGTATGAGATGTGTAAAGGGCAAATCTGTGTTCATTGTAGATCTACTTGAGGGCAGTGAATGAACACCCCTGATCAAAGATTATTCATGCTTTAGATATACGTAGCTACATTTCGTACAACATAGATGACAGTGTGGGAATAAACCATTAAAAATAACATTCATCACTGATGAAAATATTGTAAACAATTGGACTAATAACAACAACGGTGATGTTGAAAATGATGGTAATAGATATAATAATAACAATATTAATAACAGTGATGATGTTGATTATTTGATTTGATTTGATTATGAAGACAATGATAACAATTTTTCTTCTTTTTTTTTTTTTCGGGGGGGGGGGGGGGGGGGGTGTCTTCCTGTTTACCTTGGGTAGCCTCATCAGTACCGGTATTAAGATTGTTCTCAAGGACCCTGTAATTCTCGCTATTGCCAATAAACCCAAATTGCCCGGATGTAGCCTCTTGGATGTAATTTCGAGCCACTGCTTTTAGCCAGTTTTAGCCGAGCTATATACATGAACCTCTACACATAAATCTACCATGCACACAGTCAATTAAATTTCACCTCACAGGTACCCATTTGCTTAACCTGGTGGAGAATGGCAAATGTCAAGTAATGTTT